CTCCAAAGAATGCAACACTCCCATGCACAGCAGCAGCGTGGGTGCACCAAGTGTGGTTCTCTCTTCTAATTTAGTTTAAGGCTTTCAATTCAAGTGACGAAGGTTACAACTCTTGTGTGCGGTATTTCAACAAGGTTCTCGTGAAGCTGAGTCGGGGAGGAGGATTTCAACATGCAATTTGGCTTGTGATATTGATAGGAAACATTTAATTTGGAGCAAAGTCTTTTAAGGTACATTGATGGTAAGATAAGAGATTTGAATATTTCTATACATTTTTGATTCTTCATAGTAAAAATTTCATGGTTTTATAACCCCATGCTTTTTTCTTGTTCTTGTGTTTTTCATGTTAAATTGTTGTGTGTTTTTTAGCAATAATTTAATTGCACTTTTGTTCAATTTTTTATTCTGAATTTCTTGAATCAGTGCCATCATATTCTACAGTGTGGTTTTTATTTTCAATTGATCGGATCCCTATAAGTATATATAGTTCCATCCCAACAAGTTTTATCAGAGAGAATGTTCTTTGATTCGAGTAGGAACAATGACCAATAAAGCAATGCACAATGTTGTCGGCACTATTTTTAGGGGTGTCGTTCTGTGGAAGCTGTCGGTCGCCGAAATCAGAATCTTGTTGAAATCAAACTGATCACATATCTTTCAAAGTTTAGCTGAAAGAACACTACACCTCAAGCTATGTATCTACCTCGAAAGATAAACACATAACTTGATAGTGAGACTCAATCAAATAAACTAAGAAATGTATGACATCCGTTTGGTCTGCGAAACCATTTTTATTATGAGCCGATAAGTTTCCTGATTTAATAAGGAAAATTAAATAGAGTTTATATTAAGTTGGGTTCTTGAAAGTTTCCTACAAAGACAAGCCCTTATAGTTAATTACATATTATATAATCAAAGTTACCTAAGACAACTCTATATAAAAATCAAGAGATATTGTCTTCAAAAGAGGTCAAAGGAATAGAAATTTTCAACTAGATCGGACAAAGAAGTGTGAAATGGGAATGAATCAAATTTGAAACATTTATTTTTGAAATCCAAAGGAAGAAAAACTAGGAGATGTCACAGATCCTGAGTAGAACCTCGGTGACTTCCCAAACTATCTTATGGTTTGGCTTCAATTTAGAGGAGAAATATTTAAGTGTTTCATCCTGCTAATTTTATTAATTAGGGCTTACATTCGTGCGAAATGATCATACAAATAGCCTAGATGATGTGAGGATTTAGGTCGTGACGAACGACAACCTCGAAATCCTAAAGTGAGTTAGGACTTATATTGTACAACAGAGCCAAACAGAAGCCTAAAGAAAGGTTCATGATTTATGTCGCACTAAGCGGACAACTTTGAAGTCGTATGTCTTAGTTGTTTAATTCTAAGAAATGGTTTAGCTGTCGTAGACATGTTTTGCTGTTGAAGATGACCGTGCTGCCCACAATGCTAGCTCCAAGCTCCTCGTTGTGACGAGTTTAAGTTTTATAATATGTCAAACCATGATGTCAAATCAAACGTTTCCTAATATTATGGTTATTTAAATATTCTGGGGAATGTTAAAGTTGATTAGAGCGAAATCGATTAGGATCCGACAATTCCCTCGTTCCGACACCACTATTTTCTTTCAGATTCACTTAGTCCAAATGAATTTACTAGACCAGTTTAATGAGTTTCGTACTTTCATTTAGACCATGGGAAATTTTGTTAGAATTGTTAGACCCGTAGGTTACCTCCTCCACGGGATTCCCGATCATCCGATAGAGACGTTTTAATAAAGTTGCAATTTTTGTTTTGTTTTTTTTTTGTGATTAAATTTTGAGTTGTCTTATATTTTGACTGTTGTGGTGGTGAATTTTATTATGTTTAATTTTTTTTTAGTTTTAGTTTTGATATGCTGGGTGACTTTATGCATGTACGTAAGCAACAATAGGTACGAAAAAATAAATACAATAACTTAAAAGCGTACCGTCGATTTGTCCTGCTCCTCCACCTGAAAGTTAACTTTGGCGACATGTATATAATTTTGCAAGGAATTCAAGTTGCAGAAGTAGATGAAGGTATAACTACCAAAACCCCAAGTTATGACTTTATTGAGTCTCAGAAGATCTTAGTAGATGAATTTAGAACAAAATATAACAAGTTCATATTGTCCTTCAAAATATTCAAGAAACTTCAAAGTGCTCGGAGCATTGCCCTGAATCACTTTGAAGATTTCTTGAAATATTTCAATTTCATTTTGAACTTATCATATCCTTTTATTAATCATCCAAGGTTAAGCTAATTTTATCCCATTGCTCAAGGAAACTTGATGTTTTATTTATCCCAAGGAGAGGAAACTCAATTAATCAATCAATATTTTAATTAAGAGTTATATGGATGGGTGTCCCTAAGGCAAATTTAAGTAAGTAAACGTTTTGGTACCCAAAATTGAAATCAGGCTTGTAGTGTAAAAAGGTGTTATGCATCAATCATGTTATCTTCTAAGTCCAATCAAATGAGTTTAAATATCAAGCTTACTTCACTACCAAACCACCCTGAAAAATCACAGTAGGTGAAATAGTAACTTAGCAGAATTTTGATTTAAATGACATGAATTCTTCTTGAATGATCACATTGTCATCAATTATGAGCTTAAAATTAATGAAATATTATCTTTCTAATTCAAACCCATCACTTGAGAATCATTTTATTTTGATTAATTTCAAAGCCATGATAATTAAGAAAATTACAATTTTGTTCTTACTATAACAAAGGTGGTAAGTGAGTTCCTACCTTTTAATCTCATTGTATTTCAATCATCTAAACATGTTCATTAGGATCAAAATTACCCATCTTCCCTTTGATTAATCCAAAATATTGATTAAGGCGCCAAAATCTAAAGTTACTCCTTTTCGTTTGAAGCCCTTCACCTCATAATTCATTAGTCAAAATTCAAGTGACTTTGAGAATTTTTTAGAGTTCCTATCCATGGGTCAATTAAAACATCAGAGGAGAAAATGTGAATTTCAAAATTTAATTTAATTTAAATAGTTATTTAAATTTAGAAAGTAGAACTTTCAAAATTGATTTACTTAACTATCCAAATTAAAGTTTTAATTTATGAGAAAATTATTAGAGGTACCCTTAGGTCAGAGAAACACTTAGACAAAATTTCATGATTTTTTTTGAATCAAATCTTTAATTTAATTATTTATTAATTTTTATGATTTAATTTGAATGAAAAAGTTGTTTTATTTACCAAAAAAAAAAATATTTTTTATATTTTTATTAAACCTCTCTGAGTTCAAAAAACTCAGAGAAAAACTTTCTATTTTTATGTTTTATATTTTTATGTTTTTTAATTTATTTATTACAATTATTTTAATGAAAAAAATAGGAAAATACATTTTAAGCTTTTAGAAATTTATTTTTAACTTAGAAAAAATTGGGAAAAATATTTTTATGAGTCCCAAGTGATTAGGAAACAATTAGACACATTTTAAAATATTTTGATAATTTTGGGATTTTTAATTATTTTAAATTCAAAATAAAG